TTCAAAGGAACGCGTGCGATTGGGTTCCTATCTTTGCTGTAGAGGCTGAAGTAAGGTAATTTTAGAAAGGTTAAAATCTATAAAATTTGAAACAGTAAAAATATCAAGTTGTAAAAAAATAATTAGCTTACCAACACCTTCTGAGAGAAATAACAAAGACTGTCGATCATCCCTGGGAGGATTCAAAACCACGACCTTTGGATTAGAAGACCAACGGGTTATCGATTGCGGTACAGGGACTTACGGATTAGCTTCAATCAGTATGTAACTTGAAAACTATTTATACTTTCTAATAAATTATAAATGTTTAAAAGAAGTAACACCCGTTGATACACGACCATCCACGGTGGGATTCGAACCCACGACCTTTGGATTAGAAGTCCAACGCGCTATCCACTGCGCTACAGGGACTTACGGATTAGCTTCACTCAGTATGTAAAGTGAAAATTTTTTATTCTTTTGCCAATAAAGTAGAAATGTTTAAAAGGAGTACTTTCTTCCTATGTGGGATTCGAACCCACGACCTTTAGATTGGAAGTCCAAAGTGCTATCCACTGCACGACAGGGACGCAACGTTTGACTTGACTTGTTAAATATTGTGACAAGTATTGATACGTTTGTCAATAAAGTAGCAATGTTTTAAAGAAATAACATACGCTAATACAGGACCTTTCTAGATGAGATTGGAAACTACGACTTTTGAATGGAAGTCCTACACGCTTCCCATGGCGCTACAGGGATTTGTGGATTGCCTTCACTCAGTATGTAATGTGAAAATTTGTTATATATTTGCTAATAAATTATAAATGTTTAAAAGAATTAACATCTGCTGATACACGCCTATTTCTGGTGGGATTCGAAACCACGACCTTTGAATGAGAAGTCCGACGCGCTATCCACTGCGCTACAGGTACGTAAGTCTTAAGTTTACAAATTAGGTAATATGACAAGTATTCATACTTTTGCCAATAAAGTAGAATTGTTTAAGTTGAGTAGGAAACCTCTCTGACTTTTTATATCAACAACATAAAATTGGCTGTTTTAAATGTATTTTTTCTGAATTATTTCAAATGTACAAGTTTGAAATTTTTCACACAATTAAAGTACTTTTTTTATTATACTGAAATGGGCTTTTAGCAAAGTTTGATTATGTCATGATTTATAAAGTATTTTATCAAACATAGTCTTATTTGAACCTGTTTTCACATTTAAAAATTTGTAAAAATTAAAATGCTGATATTTTTACAAAATGTTCATTGCACTATATATTAGCCCCCGCACGCTATAAATATTTCATACACTATTTACATTTTTGTGAACATTAGTTTTTCAGGAAAGTGTGACAAATCTATACGGAATTTTATCACTAAC